GGACTAGCAAGGATTAACAGAGAAGATTAAATCAGCACTTTGATCAACAGTCCTATTACCAACTTATGAATAGAGTCACTTTTACCATATCTCCTAGAACAAGGTCTTGTGTTGACGGCAACACTTTCTGGAATGTCAAAGTACTCACCAGTATTACAAAGGAAGACCGATGGTACAAAGAGAGGGCTTGTCAATTAGGTTCCCTGTGTAGCTACTGAATTTGCATTGCCAAATCATCTTGGTTCTACAGTGTTCCATGTTGGCCCAACCCTACATCCTATAAATCACTTTAACGAATTTAATCACCAACCTGCTAGCTAGGTTTCAGCCATTTTTGGTATGCTTAACTATCCTCTTCCCACCCCAGAACTGGGTGCGGTTAGGAGAGACATGATGGAAACGGGAGGTGGGGTGCTGATCACACTGAGCTTATCACACAGACCAGCTCCCGGCGTTCATGCCCAGGGATGTTAAACACTGCATGCAGAGGACAGCTATCTTGCCCAGTGCATGGAAGATGTAAAACAAGCAGTCATAGCAACTGAGCCCCAGTTCTAACAATGTTCTTTTTACAGAAAAGACAGATATTGACTGTCAGCTCCACAATTTTATTCTAGCCATTGAAGCTCTAGGTACCTTCAGAAAAAATATTACCAACTAACCAACTTTTTAAAGTTAAATATTAATAAATACAAATTATCTTGCAAATAATTTCTCTCTCTATGTGTGTGTGTGTGTGTGTAATTTAAGTTAATATTCGGCACACATTAAATTTAAGTGGGCTGTGGCCCTCCCTGGTGGCGCAGCGGGTTAAAGCACAGCACTGAGAAGCTAAAGCCACTTCCGCATGAGTTCGATTCCTGCCTGCCCCGGAGGAGACCACATGGCGCAGCAGACCTCTCCTGGCCCGCCCGCTGCTCCCCTCAGCAGTGTACTTCGTCCATCTGCCTGTTCTGCTCCCCACTCTGTCTCTGGTGAAGCCTCTCGCCGCCCCTGAGCCTCTGGCCTGTACCCCAGTTCTGTATGCACAAATAAATAATTCTTTAAAAAAAAATTTAAGTGGGCTGTATTATGGCTCCATGAATGGCTTAAAATGAAATAATTTTTTATACTTTAAATTACTTTATATTTCTATTGCCATATTTACATTTTTTTATCTTGTTCACACCTACACTTGTAGAAAAATCCTGTCATTCAGTCTTTTAAAGGCATTAAATACTGCAACTAGTTCCTCAACCTTCTACATTTTGAGGAAGCATGCTTTAAACTCCTTTCCGGTAGCCAGCGAACACCCTGCAGACTAGCTGAGTGAACAAGTATCCAGAGTTACAGATAACACAGTTATTTTAAGATTCTCAGGAAACCAACACATAAGGACATGATCAATGGAATAATTGAGAAGAATGAAATAGGTGATTTTGGCCTTGAATCAAGGTTGACTTGAATGACTCAGAAAGTGAAAATAAAAAAATAAATACCCAGGGGAAAGTCTACAAGCGATATTCATCATTCTGAGTTAACATCAGTGAAGCAAGCGGGGAATAATCAAGACGGAAGGCCAAGAGGGCTAACACAGACATCACAGCTGTAAAATGACAGGCTCTCTGGGGGAGGGGAAGGTCGGCATACCACATGCACCAGGGGCAGGCTACCAGCCGGCATCTAGATATATAGCAAGACTATTACACAAGTTTCCTTCTCCGCACATCTGAAAATACAACATTCCTGCTTGGCGTAATTTGTCAGGTTACTTTTTGCATCTAGAATGCTCAAAACATTTTCCCATAGAAATTAATGGCAATATTGTTCCCAGAGTCCTCTAAAATAGCCTATCAAACCACGCCAAATAAGCACATGCTACTTTTAGATAGTGAGGTAAGCCTGCATTGATATTTTTAATATTGAAACAGGTTAAATGCAGCCACGGACACGAGGAAATGCACTGAACGCTGCAAGTCATGTTGTGTTTCAAGTTGACTGAAAGTCCAAGTTACAATGCTGGCACAGATTCAGGGGTAGATTGCTGCCTCCCCACAATTTTCAAACCGTTGCATCCTTATTAGCAAAAGATATTCATGTTATATCTTAGTTTTTAACATACGGGATTAAGTGGCAGACCAGAGCCAGCCTCTCCTTTTGCCACACCCAAAGAAATAACTAAGAAAGGACAATGGATATAAAATCTGGTGACTGGTTTGATGATGGTATGTAAATTACCTTGAAGCAAGTTATGCATAAAAGAAACCTAATCAAAAAGAAATTGCTAATGGCTGTTTTCTTCTTCCTTCTTACACACTGCTGCTAAACATACCACTCATCGTGTGGCAGGAAAGCCGCTTCTTTGCTTCCTCACTCTCAGGCTTTGTCAGGACAGTGGCAGCCGCCCTCAGGATACTGCGGGTGACTCCTGCCTCCTGGCGCTGACCCCTCGTGCGTCGGACCTCACCTGTGCCAGGCTGCCCCGTGTGACCGATGGGACCGGGCAGAGGAGGTGGCCACACGGTCCCTCAGCACTGCCCAGCTCCAAGAAGGCCACTCCTGTCTCGGTGGTGCCGGCACACGTCTCCCGGCCACCTCCCCCGCGGGACGGCTGTCGTGTGAGCAGCTCAAAGGCAAGGGACGGTGCCTTCAGCCTGACTTCCCAGTGAGCCTTGCCTGGGAAGCATCCTGCAGCCCCTGTGGGCACCAGAGAGGGCAACACCCCCAGGCAAGGGAGTCGCTCTCCTTACCCAGAGAAGCTGGGGGAGAATTATCTGCTATTTTAAGCTGCTAAGTTTCAGCATAATTTGTTATACAGTAGATAATGCAGGTGGCAAGATCTGAGGTATAAAAGATGACACATCAAAAGCTTTATATTTTCATATTCCTAGAAACAAAGAAGATAAACCAGTTTGTGTAGTATAACAAAGGAAAACTGGATTTTTTTTTCCGATGAGTCAGAGATAACAGTGATTGAGGAGAAAGTTGTATGAGTAAATGTTGGCTACAAAATCCAAATGATATCTTTTTTAACTCTTTAGCTTTTTACATTTCTTCTTTATTTTACTTTGTTCATGCTAGTCCCGGCTCCAGCTTCATCGAGAAGCCAGACCAGGCAGTGTGCAGGGGAGCTATTTGAAAGTGGAGATAACCTTCTTATTTGCAGGAGAGAGAGCAGCATGAAGACTGCCGGAGCCAGAGATAATGGCTTATATGAATCGTGCATAATGCTGCATTAACTTGTCATTACCGTCATTACTAAAACTGCAGCTAAACGCTTGCCATGTGCATACAGGACACATTAGCTATGTAAAAACTCATCGTCCTGTGCCCTCTAGGAAAGACCCAAAAAGTTCAAACCCAGTCTTCACTGGTACATGCAAAAACTGGATTGTAGTCTATCAACTCAGAACAATGCAATGCAGGCTTTGAAAGATTCAGTTTATCTTGCCTTTCAAATTAAACCTTAATAAATATAAATTTGTTTTTAAGGTTAAAAAAAAAAAGTGGTAAGAGAAATGAGTGTCAAGGTATTAACTCATATTTCCCTTACCCCAGACCCAAAGTTGCCGGACTGCACTCAGAAGCAAGCAAGCCGGCCTCACAGGCACAAGACCGACACTTCCAGCTTGGACTAGCCAGCCAGCAGCTGGGGGGCGGCACATCTGGCCAGATGTTCAACTTGTTTCTGATTCTGCTTATCCTTGCCTCTCCCGCTGTTTCATCTGCTCCCCAAAATATGATTAATATCTATGATTTGTAAAACTCTGCGCTGAGAGCCAGGCTGAGTGCCCGCCATCCCACAAGGCAGAGGTTTGGAGTTAATGAGAAGTGAGACTGTGGGGAATGACCAGGAACCTGCCAATGTTAAAGCAATTGAGCATGAATATCACACACTGGCTTGGGGGCAGCGCTCACTGCGGATGGGGAGGGGTCAGCTGGCAGGCAGATGGCGCGCACGCAGCTCTGCTCCAGGGCCGGCCCGTCTATCACCACGGCCCACGCTCTGTCACCTGCTGCCTGTGTCCCCAAGAACCAAGCTTTCTTTTTCCTTCCCCCTCTTTTCTTCCCCCTTCCTACGAAGATTTCCACTTTATCAAGATGAGAGGTCATCTACTCCCAGACCTTACAAAGAATACTTTATGACTGTGTTTCTCAAACTTTTAACTTTTCTGATTTTGATAGAGTTTCTTCTAAAAACATGCAGTTTGTTGAAGTGAGCTCAGAATAACACAAACAACCGTGGTGTGGCTAAAAGAACTGGAGAGCCTATTTTAAAATCTCTGCATCGTCTCTCAAGTCAATGAAAACTTAGATTATTAATTACTACAATGTATTTCTTCTGTCGTCATCATTCTCAACTAGATTATTCCTATGTTCCGAAATGGCAAGGATCTCTGGAGATCTGCTCAGTAGTGACAAAATAAACACCTCAGTAAACTGTTCCTTATTATCACATCTCAACAACGGCACTTTATGATGTGTTATTAATTCCAACTTGCAGTGAATAGCTTTATTCAAACAACAATAATGGATTCAAGAAAAAAGATTTGCAAAAAATTGTGGTGCTAAAATTCTAAGAGCAATTATAGATTTTTACAAAAATTCATCTACAAAGATGTATTTGGTAGCTTGCAATGCAAAAAATGGACACAATTTAAGTATGTACCAAATGAGAGTTGGGTAACTACATTCACAATGAAATTAAAAGTGATTTGTGAAAAATAGTGAGGATGCAGAAAACAATGCTGTTACTGAACAAGCCTATAAAACTATAAAATCATTTAAAATATATGTTCTTAAGGTACTAATTAATAATAATCTGACAGTGACAGAGTTTCTAAGATTATGTTTCTGCTTGTCATTTTCTAAATTTCCATTAGCATGTATGCTACAATTGCTAGAAATACTTCTAAGTAACTAATGAGTTTCTCAATCCTTACCCATACATGAACAGAACCAGCGATACAGTAAGAGAGACCACATGAGAAAGATCTAAATATGGTGTCGTTATGGCTTACCTTATCAGCATAGTATTCTCTAACTTCAGGTCTAATAGAATCGAAGTCACCGCTGATGAAATCGGGCAAAAAGCTGAAAGAAAGTTCCATAAAGTTAATTAATTAAGACTACTTGCTTGTAAAATTTAACTCTGAGTATAAGGACCAGGGAGAGCACTAATATACTCAAAAGGAAAAAGAAATAGTCTGTTTTTAGAGAAAATGGGATGACATATCTTTTACTTGCAGTTTCCATATAGTAGGGTTGAGGGGACCCCCGCAAACCCAACTAACTCATCAACAGCCATAAAATCAATTAACATTTAACTTGTAAAATAAATAAATAAAAGATTGAATATTACTGGTTGAAACTCTCCCAGTTCAACAGACTAGGTGGTGCAGAATTACTGCGACTTTGGTGTTGGGCATGGTGTAATAATGCACTTGTAGAGATGTGAACTTAAAACCCTAAATCACATACATTGTTGCAAACCAAACTTATCTTAATAACCATAATAATGAATTTTTGTAACTTAAAACAATCTCCAGTCAAAAAAACCCTAACACAAAAACTCATATTTACCTTATAGATATAAATACATATATATACACATATGCACACAGACATATATTTACTTTTATTCACATTATTGTACACTCGCATCGCTTCAGAACTTTTAACAGAATTAAAAAGTGTAAATGATGGTGAGGACTGAATATACCTTGCAAAGCAGATGTCAATAAGACATTTTCCAAATATCCTTTTGACATCTTTCTAAAAGCAGGAGACTTCCAGGTTAACTTAAAATACTACAAACATACTATAAAATACAGGGGGAGAATTTCTGAACATGTGTATGTCTAAACGTGTGTTATGGCTTATTTCCCATTTTTACTATAAATATATTTTTAACTCCTTTCATATAATCTTCGTTTAGTAGTCTACATAAAGCATCTACATGAACATAACTGCATATAAATAAAACTTCCCTAGATTTCTCAGGGCTCCTGTGAACAGTCCTAACTTTCTCAGCTTCTAAAGTGAATTTCTAGAAAGGAGTTGTTTGCTTTCATTTCCTCCAAAAGTATTCTACTCTTCACATACCATGAGAAGTAAATCTACAGTTAATTATCTATCAATCGTCTTGATTCAAAATAGCAAGTCTTCTACAAGCTTTCTCAGAAGGACCAAATTGTTACATAAGAAGATGGACTAAATCCTACATGAAAGGGAGGCCAGCCTGGTCTCCTGGGTGTTACCTGTAAACAGGGCTGGAGCCCGGAACCTGAGTGATCTGGACCGGACACAGGGAGCTACTTATGATTATACTTATGTGGAGAGGGTCTGCTGTTGTGCCAGTGGCCCGGGGTTAGGAGTCAGGCCCATAATGCCCACGGAGATGTTCCACGAGCGAAAAAGCGCAGCTCTCCTCCCCACTCAGTAAACGGAGGCGCTAAAGCCATGTGCTCGAGCCTCATCTACGGGACACTGTGCAGGGTACCCGGCCCCTCGGATGGGCCAAGGCGGGGAACGGGCGAGGACAGAGGTCTCAAGAAACCAGGCTCAGAACAGGTCATGTTCACATTCAGGGGAAAAAAAATCAACAAAGATGGCCGCGAAAACCAACACCACCCTCACCCCTGGAATGTTTTTCCCCCCACGTTCTTAACTTAATTGGTAACATTACTCCCTGGGTCAAACCTAATCTGACCAGGTGTGCTGGACCATTTTTTTGAGTTGTGGGTCTTCCTCAGTTTGAATGTAAAAGGAAGTTGGTCTACACACAGATCTGTGCCACAAAATCTGCTCCGTCCCTTTTTTAACTAATCAATAACCGCGACACATTGAAGTTTTCATTAATAAAAGCCTTAACTTTAGTCAACTGATTCTAGACACAGTCACGGAACATTAAGCATATTGATGGGCATTCCAATATGAGTTCGTTATTAATAAGTTCATCAAAAGATAGCAGCTCATTGCGGAATAGGCAGATAAAGAACTGAGGCTTTTTTAAATCACCTCATCTGGTTTCAACATCTTCCCATGAACTTCTCTCCTCAAAAACACTACTGCCACCAGATCCATTTCTTTCAATATCACTTTACAGCTACTTAGGCGAGTACTTTATACCTTGCCCATCATAAGACACACTAGATTATTAGTTTTTTTCTTTCCTATTACAAAAATTGACTTATTTTCAAAGTTTCCTGAAAATGGCTCCACCTACAAGCATTCAACAGTAGACTAATGCTCACACGCCTCACAGGCTATCAGTGCTTCATGTGGTCTGAGTGTCTGTGTCCCTCCAGAATCCATACCTGAAACCCTAACACCCAATGTGATAACTACGGGGTATTAGGCCAGGCGGGTGGGGCCTTAGAACAGGATTAGTGCCCTCTAAAAGGGACCGTGAAGTGCCACCTCGCAGGCACTGTCGGAGGGCAGAGTGAGGAGTCGGCCCTCTGGAGCAGGGAGCAGTGCCCTGAGCCCCCAGAGCCATGAGAAGAGGGGCGCCTCACCTGATCGTCACCTACGCGCAGCCCAGTCCCTGGTATTCAGACATAGTGGCCAGAGGACACTAAGACTGTGCTGCAGCCGGGAGGCAGTCAGCCCTCAGGCGTCTGTCACCTTCAGGCAGGGGCTGAGCTCTCCCTAGTCAGGTGAGCACTGCTATCCACATGCAAGGCAGCCCCTGGGAAGTCAGGGTCTTGCTGCTTCCGCCTAGTTTGAGTCTCCTGACGTCCTCATAAGGCTGCCGCTACACTGCTCTACAAATGTAGCCCCTCCAGTGTCTGGACTCACTTTAGCAGTTTTCAAATATAGGATTGATTTTGACACTAAGTAAAAATGGAAAACATTAAGTAGATACAAACAGACAGCTGGACATCTGTCTCCTTAGGATATCTAATTTGAAAGAGAATTTGATCTCTTTTTATCTTACACCACAGTAGTAAAGGAAAGCATGCAAATTTATTTATATTTTCATATGAAAATTTAACAGGAGAAGAGTATTGTATCGATAAAAGAGAAATAAACTTTAACTTTTTTTCTATCAAAGTGGGGGAAAAAAGCAAGGAGGAGAAAGATCTGAGGGAGAAAGTTTCTTCCTAGAAGAAACCTTCCAGGAAACAGATTTCAAATCATTCTAGTATGCCTGGCTATACAGCACTGATGCATCTCATAATTATACATTATAATAATCAGTTAATTTTTGTAAACAATTTATAAGGTTACTTTTTATCAACCTAATTAACCAGAATTAAGCAACCAGAGTTGCCTGACAGTCAAGCAGCACATGTGAACGCAGACAGGTTCTCACACCTAAGCCAGTCAAGCCCAAAGTCTAGGTTTGTTTCACTTAATGGAGGAGTGGTGCAGAGTCACAGTTACCATATCACATGAGGCTTCCTGAAAGCCTCATATATATGCAGGGTAGTAAGCAAAAGTACGCACATTCAGTTCTATATCTGAGTACTCCAAATATAAGCAATATAAATTGCATAGGTCATTAAGAAATTAAAAATTACAGGGGCCTCCTTGGTGGCACAGAGGTTAAAGTTTCAACACTATCATGCTATCACCAGCCGCTGCAGCCTGAATTCCATCCCCGGCCAGGGAGTGACCCACAGGGCACGGCAGACCCCTCCTGTCTCCCCGCTGCTCCCCTCAGCAGTGCATTTCAGTGAATCTGCCGGTTGCACCCCCCACTCTGTCTCTGGTGTATGCTCTCACCCCACATCCTGCACCCTGCACCTCTGGCCTATACCCCAGTTGTTGTATGCATTAAAAAAAATACAATTTGCTCTATCTGGTCAAGCTACAGGGATTGACTTCTCTAATCACTTAGAGAAACAGACAGAGAAGATTATCTTTGCATTGTTCCTAACCTTCGGGAATCAGCACGGAGCCTGTCACCATTACCTGTAATTTGCTCTGGGGTTTTCACCAACGTCAGCGTGAGGAAATCACCTTCTGCTCCTAGCTCACTGAGTGCTGGCACCAGCAGTGCTGGATTTTGTCAAATGCTTTTATTTTTGTCTACTGTGATTTTTATTTTTATTTCCACTGAAACAATGCATTACCTTAATTGAGTTTCAGAAGTGGACACACTGTTGTGGTCCCAGGACAAATCAAGTTTGCCTGTGGTGTATATTATTTAATATACTGCTGGATTCAGTGTGCCAGTCTTTTGTGGAGGGTTTCTGCAAGCAAATTCAAAAGAGCCATTGGTCTAGCATTACTTTTCACGAATTATCTTTGTCTAGTTTTAGTATCAGGGTAATACTGGCTTCATAAGATGAGCTAGGAAGCATTTTATTTTTTAAAGACTTACACCCAGAAAATCAAATTAGCCATACCACAAAGTAGGGCTCATCTGTCTTAATTTCAAAACTTACCACAAAGCACAGTGGTCAAGTTGGCATGGCAATGGCACAGGTCAAACACACAGATCAACGGTATAGAACTGAGAGCCTAGAAGTAAAACCACGCATCTCAGGTGAACTAATCTTTGATGGAGACCATTTGGACAAAGATGGTTCTTAAAAGCTCTGCCTTTTAAATAGAAGATTTCTGGACAAAGAGTTGCAATAAACAAATGACCTAAACAAGAGAATACAGTTGAACCCTTACTTCACACTACATACAAAAATCAGTTCAAAATGGATTAAATTCCTGATTGTAAGAGTTGACACTGTAAAACTTTCCAAAAACTAGTAGTATAAAATTCATGGTCTTAGATTTGGTGAAGAATTATTAAATATGACACCAAAAGCATGAGAAAAAATAGATAAATTGAAATTTCATCAAAACTACACAACTTTGTGGTCCAAAAGATACTAAGAAGACAGCCCAAAGAATGGGAAAAGGGGCCCTCCCTGGTGGCGCAGCAGGTTAAAGCACAGCA